AATATTCTTTCTATTTGACTCCAACTGGAATATACTACGCAGGACAAGTAAGTGCACATCAAGAAAGGCACAAGGGCCTACAGATGGTTCAGATCAGAGGAGCTACAATGACTATGGAACAGAGGAGCTGCAACAGGGTGATCAACTACAAATCCGGGTTTCTGCAGTCTGACAAAACAAAGTCAGGAATGGATAAAGAAAAAAATAACTTTCCAAACACGTTAATTGTGTAGAGAATGTACAAGCCAACTACAGGCTTAACGTCAAATTCTAGAATATTAGAACTGTGGGGACTTAACTTTTAGGCTGAATGGCAAATACCAAAGTGTGAAGTGCTTCGACTATGGCGTCCAAAGGGGGAAACCCCCTGACTCCTCACCTGTCCTCCCAAATGCCACACCTCAGTAGCTGTGGGGCCTTCGGCAAGTTACATTAACCCTCCAAGTTTACTTGCTCATTTTTAATGTGGGGTAATAATGACCCCTACCTCGTAGAATTGTTTTGAAGATAAAATGAGAAAATCCATGTAGCAGGGGCAGGCGCAAATGAAGAGGTCATTGTTAGCTAATGCTGATGTTATTACTTAAAATTTTCTAAAGTAAGGTTTCTAAACTTTGACACTATTCACATTTTTGGACCTTATAATTCTCTGCTGGGACAATGAGGGGAGGGGGTAGTTCTGGGCCTCATAGGAACCACTGACCTCTGCCCACTAGATGCCAGAATCACTTACCCTCCAAGTGTATCTAGATATTGCTCAATATCCTCAAAGGGGGTAAAAATCAACCCTGGTTGGTTTTCTGAAAACCACTGCTTTTAAAGGAACTGATTGATTGATTGATTGATTGATTAAAACAATATATTTAGGACAAAATAAAAAGAGGTACTTTTCACAGTGGAAGCCATTTTTTAGTTAAAGCAACCAGTGGTACATACACTTTCAGTATTAAAAAGGTTCAGTATAAAAAGGTTCAGGAAAGATTTAGAAATAATACACACATATACACATAGATGCATAATGAAAAAAAGTTTCTAAAAGATATTTGAAATTCTGTGCACTTCTGAGGTTGAAGCAAGAGAGACCATCTCTTACTGACTTTCAAAGACTATGTAAAGCTTCTGCCAGACAGTAAAACATCAAGTAATGTGGATGATCAGATTCATCTGGTGGGATACCTGAGATACTCCCTTGTTCCAGAAATCCAATTATAAACGGCACCTGCAGCAAGGACACATTTCACAGCACCCTTAGAGGAACACTATGTTCCAGAAAGTGTTCCTGAATCTCCTGGCACCTAAGAATCACCAGGCGAGGTTTTCAAACTTGGAGATTTTCAAGCCTCATCTTTATATTTTAATTTTGCATTTTAAGATCAGGAGCCTAGATATCTGTAAATTTAATAAGTACTTCCAGGTAATTGGGAACTTCTAGTCAATGGGACAGTGTCTAAAATGTGAGAGAGAAGGTCCTCTTTGATTCTGTTCTGCCTCGACCTCAACATTAGGAGACACCTACAGACCACAGGAGTCATTGCAGACCGTAAATAAATACACTACAGTAGTGCTCTCTAACAATCCATATCAGCAACAAAGGTCTTGCTCAAATGGAAAGTTCAACGTGAAAATCAAGATTTTAGAATAGAAGAATTAATTAGGTACTTCTGAGGAATTATTCCTAGTAATAAGTCTTCCGTTATTTCCAGGGACAGCTTTTGCTACAAACTGTGCAATCAATCACCTGCGGTCAGACAGAACTGGGATTACTTGGCTTACTCAGAGGAAACATCAAACAGTTCCTATGTACATTTTCAAAATGACAAGCAGCTAAAAAGACAATCCTCATTTCATTTCTGTTCACACCAGAATAGATGCTTACTAATGCCACAGAGGAAACATTTGTTTCAGCTGTAAGAGGCTGTTGGCCCAGTTAGAGGAATTTTGACCCTAAGCGTTGTATGCGGTTTGAAACCTGCGGGTGAGGTGACTAGCTGCTCCAGATGGCCTGGGACTGAGAACTTCCCAGCATGTGGAACTTCAAGTGCTAAAAAATGAGCAGTCCTGGGCGAATCGGGATACTCGGTTATCCTACGGATAGTCCCAAAGGGGCTTCTCAGCTGGTTTCCTCTCTGTCAATTTTCTTTAGGAGCCTTTAACACCCCTCAAATCTGTCCCCATGCCACTACTTTCTGGCCTGCAGACTTGGATGCTTGAGCCCCTCTCTCCTCCTGATGTAAATGGACTGAGCCAACTTGTCACAGAACCTGAGTTAGAAGTCCTTGTGGTTTGTAAGCCTCTTTATGTTGGTGACGCTGAGGTGAAACAGAGTCAAAGAGAACCCAAACTTCTCTTTCCTAATTCAAAACACAGTCACTTGAATAGTGGTTCCCAATATTAGAAAGTAAGTTTAGAAATGTAAAGAGTCCAGGATTCTACCCCAGAATGTGCAGACATGAGGACTGAGAATCCCCATGTTTGAAAACTTCCTGGCAATTACGATGTGCAGGAAGGCTCAGGAACACTGTTTAGAACACAGGGCCCCTCCACGGCTGCTATGACATGTGCCAGCGTTGCAAGGGCAGTTTTTCATTGGATTTCTGGAACAGGGAACATTTCAGGCATTTTACTAGGTGGGACTGACCTTTGGAACTCATAAATCCAAATTCAAAGTCAGTACTTTGATCTCAAGACACAGAGATTACAATACTTGGCTCAGATTATCATTTCAGGTACCCACTGTAAAAGTTACACTTCACTTAAGTCGCACCCTAGTCAAGTCTAAAGTAAGTTTGAAATCCATTAAGGTAACATCAACTTATATTTACGAATGTCTGCTTTTAATAGTTAATTGGTAGCATATTATAGCCAGATATTCTTGTAAAAATAAATCACTTGGATTTTGTCTTTGTTACTAATTATTGACATTAACAATTATTATTTGAATATTTATATACATGCAAATCTCAGGACTAGACGTTACACTTTAAGAGAAAATTTTAAGTTACTATAATCTTTTATAGACTTATAGCCATCTGTGCTAATCTTATGCAATCACACTGTCCTAGGGAATTTACATATGCACACAAAAAAAGTGAAGTTCCAAGGAGTTCAAAGATCACTCCAGATATCCAATCACAGGCCTTGAATTAAAAACTGCTGGCATAAGCTCTACAAAGATTAAAAACACCAGGATGGGTTCTATCTTTGAAAACATGCAAGAGCCATTGCTGCCCACTACATATACACATATGCGCACACACAGGAAGAGAGGGACAGAGAGAGAGATGGAGACAGAGAGAGAGAATCTCCCTTTTTCACAGACTCTCTTGGAAAAACTCTGACACACCTCAGATTCACCTACATTTTGGAAAATCCAGCATACAACCCACCAGCCTCCTCTGAAAGGAGCCTCTGCCTATTTCTGCCATTTGACACCTAACATGAAATATACTAACAGTTCCTTTGCATGAGCAGTTCCTACATAAACTCCTTTACAAAGAGCATTAATAAGTTTGTTCACAATCCTGTCCATCTAGAATGAGAAAATGCAAAACAATTCTTGACCTGTCAAGAAAATAAGATACATACACACATGTAAAAGTCATGATTAAAAATATACACATATCCATCTTATTTAAACACTCTTTTCCAGATATTTGTGTAGTATACAAAACATCAGATAATTCAAAAGTTAATTTGTATTTGGCTTGGGTCTTCTCTATAGGTTTCAGATGTTGTTTGTTGGGGTTGGTAGAAGAAGAACAGCATTGTCTGATAATTTGACTTCAATCCCTAATTGGATTGACATTGGCTCCTGTCCAATTTTACTTGCCTCTCATCCAAACACAATGGCCAACAGAGCAGGGGAGCTCACCAGGCAACAAGGACAGCCAGCTGGCCACCTGCATCCATGGGGAACAAATTTACCTCTTACTAGCAGGGTTACAGTAGGCTTCAGTGTCCTTACTGTGAGTAGCATTACTTCACAGATCAGTGTAAGAATTTCACATAATAGATGAAAAATGCTCAGACCAGTAACTGGATCAGAGAAAGTCTTCACATAAACCTTCAAAAACTGGAGATAAGTATTTTGCCTGCTTATACTATATGCATATGTTTTAAACAGTAATGTCTCGAATGTACTATCACTAATGGTACTAAAATATAATACTTTGTAAATCTCTTTCTTCAATTCCTGGACATCTCAGGAAGCAAACTCACCTCAGCCTATTTCTACTATCTATCCAGAAACCAGTCTGCAGACCTCTGACCACTTTGTGTGGAAAGAAAAAAAAAAAAAGCAATCTGTGCCCTCATTTCTACTCATGTAAATGAGTGCATCTTTCCTATCTAAGTCTTCCTGGGAACATTAATTTGCCTTCCACTTGCTAGCTAGTCTATCATCTCCTGGATTAAAACTAGAGAAACAAAGACAAGTATGACCCAATTTTGAGACTTTTCAACACAGAAATTAAAGCTAAAAAATAATGAGACAGAACAGGGCAATATAGGACCAGACTAGAGGATCACCTCCACTTTCCCTGTGTTGATGGACCATCTTACAAGCAGTATAGAAGAAAAGGAGTAACAATGTTTAAACTCTCCTATCCTTCAATACCTCAAACATATCATGAGTCTCAAAACTCGTGAGTTTCAAGCACAGATTATCAAAGTCAAGCACTACAATACAAGAAAAGCACGGGTTTGCCAGAGGATACCAAATAGGAGAATGAGGACTAGGGGTTGTGATGGGTGCTTTTCACCTGACACCCATTTATGTAAGTCTGACTCGTAGCCCTGCACTGGAGAGAAGGCTCCACGTCACAGCACATCTTAATTCCTCCTGCTCCCTCTCAGCTCCTGGGGCGTAACTCAAGCAACTCTTCAGCTTTCATGTGGCACCAGGCACTGTTTCCCACAGGCGCCAGGTTTAGGATGAAGCAGCAAGAGGCTAAACTATCTTCAGAGTACAAATGAGGACCTCCCCCAGCCCTGCCTCTTACCTGCAGCATCTGCCCCTTCAGCAGGCACACTCTGGGTGGACGCTGGGGCTGGGTCCTTGACTCCATGCACCTGAACGGCTTCTTCCTGGTTTGTCAAAAACGCAGAGCACAGATCAGTTTCAAGGGCTTGGAGCTTCAGCAAGGAATTCTGCCAGCAAAAGCAGAACATCGGGCTAGCTAAGTAGATGGCTAACACGCAATGGTGGGTCTGCAGGTCTTGCAAACACCTTTCTCCAGCGCCTGGCAGGAAGAGGGTCGTGGCCACAGCTGCTTCAGCCAGAGATGGTTGTGCCAGAATCAGCTGTGCATTAGTCCACATGCAACCTCAGTTTCTGTCTCATTTAAATCCTAACGTATATGGATTATCTGTGACACATGGGACTAGTGATTTCGTCAGCAAGAGACGCTGCAGCCAGGGAACCAATCTGAGAAGGTTCTGCTTCCCGGGTGCTTGGGGCTTTACGCTTTGCAAGAGTTTCATTCATTGTGCTGACATCAGGAGCAGATGACATTAGGCCCCTCCCAGGCGACCATTCACAACAGCCAGCGTCCCTCCACTGCAAAGACTGCAGCAGACCGCAGTGCACAAAGAGTTACTGCTGCAGAGGCCGCCAGGCATCTGGGAGGTGCTTTGGGGCTCCCTTATCTACATTTGTATGTGGGAGGTATGTGCTTGTGTGTGTGTGTGCATCTCTATGTGTGGGTGTGCGTGTGGGGGGTGTCTCCTGAAGTTACTTCTCTCACATGAAATGTTTGTAACTACCTTTCATCAAGAACAGAGTAGAGGGAGAGAAGAAAATGACCTTGGTCACTTAGTGTGACCCAGCCACTGAGGGAAAAGCAATTTATCTTTCATAGCTCCCAGCACAACCTCTCCCCACCCCCTCCATTCCTCATTTTAAATTTCTCCCATGGCTCTTAATAAGAACAAAGTCATACTGACTGACGCACATATCCTGCCATGATGCAGATGCCCAGCAAATTAATTCCCCAACCAGGTGAAAGTGAGTCACGCCTGAGTCCCCGGCAAGGCACTACTCCCCCACAGCAGGGAAGCTCTGCAGGCCTCAGCAGCTCCTCCACCCACCAGGCTCCTGGCAGGGTTGCTACCTGGAGTGGAGCCATTGGTCCTTTCCCTACTATGCCCCTCCAACACACACTCTCTCTCTCTCTCTGTTTCTCTCTTTCTCTCTCTCTCTCTCTTACTCACATTCTACCCTCCATATATCCTATTGCCCATGCACCCTCCTATCTAACCTTCATACCCTACTCCATGCACACACCCATCCCAATCCTATACAGACCATTACCTCCATCCTCCACAGCCTCATGCCTAACCCCCATATTTTCACACTCTACTTCACACATACACTCTAACCCCCAAATACTTCACCTCCACTCCATACACATACTCATTCCTTCTCACACTCATCCCTTTAATCCCCTATTACACACACATACACACGCATGCACGCAAGCCCTACCACACACCCCCATACCTAACTCCCCCTCTCACACTCTATTTCACACACCCACTCACCCCCATCGTCCCTCATATCTTGCCTCACATAAATACCCCCCAACATTTCCCCACATGCCAATCCCTTCCCCTACACACCATCCACTCCCATACACACATTCTGATCCCTTCTGTTGATGTCGGTCAATATGAACCTACAGCAGTGTTAAAACTGCTACTTAAGAAACATCTTAAATGTACTGTCCTTTGGCCACTTTTGAAAGAGGCGGGTGCTTAAGCAGGCTCAGGGGCCCTTCTCTGTGTGCTCAGAGATGGGGGGAGACCCGGTACAAATGTCCTCTGTGCTCAGGGGCTGCTGTCTGAATGCCTGCAGCTCGCATGAAGCATCTACCTGAGACCAGGCCATTTTTCACGGCTTCCTCCTCCTTTCTGGAATGTTTTCCCAGCAGCTAAGTATGGAAGCGAGTGCCCAAGGTTGCTGACAGGAGGTGCAGAAGGAGCAAGGGAGCCGAGTTTCTGGAAAGATTTAGTAACCAAACATCTGAGAGGCAAAAAGAACAATTCCAGGCTGGCTGTCTACTGAAGGACCTTGGAAATCGGTGTGACCTCTCAAAAAGAGCAAAACTATTCAGAAAATAAAGAAATAATGCCACAAGAATGTAAAATGGTGTGGCTGTTAAAAAGAAAAACAAAACAACTATGGTGGTTCTTCAAAAAATTAAAAATGAAACTATCGTATAATTTTATGATAGTGGAAATTTCAATTCCACTGCTGGCTCTATACCCAAAAAGTATTAAAAGCAGGGACTCAAAGAGACATTTTTATGCCCATATTTATAGCAACATTATTCACAATAGACTAAGATATGTCTCTTCTAAATTCATACGATAAAGCTCTAACTCTTAAGTGACTGTATTCGTAGATGGGCCTTTAAAGAGGAAATTCAGGTAAAATAAAGTCATCAGGGTTCAATATGACTAATGTCGTTAGAAAGACAGACAGACAGACATACACACATACACCAGGGATGCACCCGCACAGAAGATAGACCATATTAGGACATGTTGAAAAGGGAGCCATCCACCTGGGTTTCTCCTGAAGCCAAAGGGAGAAGCTTCAGGAGAAACCCATTCTGCCAGCACCGCACCTTGTTCTTGGACATTCAGAACTGTGAGAAAATAAATATTTGTTGCATAAGCCACTCAATCTGTGGTATTTTGTTATGGCAGCCCCAATGCGGTATGAGCAGACTAATACAAAGTAAAAGCAGCCAAATGATAAACAAAATGTGCTATATACATACAAGGGGGTATTGTTTAGCCCTAACAAGAAAGAAAATTCTGACACGCTACAACATGAATGAACCTGGAGGACCTATGGTAACTAAGGTAAGCCACTCACAAAAAGACAGATCTCTAGAGTAGTAAAATTCATAGAGATGGAAAGTAGGTAGTGGCTGCCAGGGGCTGGCGGGTGGAGAGGAGGAGGGTAGGGGAGTTAGTATTTAACTCATATGGAGTTTCAGGTTGGAAAGATGAATAAAATTCTGGAGATGGATGGTGATAATGGTTGCACAACAATGTGCATTACTTAATACTGCTCAACTGTACACTTAAAAATGGTTAAAATGGTAGCTTTTATTTTATTGTGTGTGTGTGTATCTCCACAACTTAAAAATGGAAGGAAGGAAGGAAGGAAGGAAGGAAGGAAGGAAGGAAGGAAGGCAGGAAGGCAGGCAGGTCAGCCAGTCCCCCGCCGCCTACATTTCGAGGGGGGACGTAGAAACTGGCCGCCTCTCATAAGCCCGATTTGCTCCTGTACACTCTGCAAAGCAGAAGAGAACATGACCTTCACACAGAGCCAGGGGCCCTGTCAGTTCAGTAACATACTATGCATCTGAGTTTGGGTAAGCATCTTGGCTATTCTAAGCTTTATTCTTTCATCTGTAAAAAGAGACAATAACAGAGACAATGGCACCTGCTCTAAGAATTAAATGAGGGCAAGCACAGAGAGCACTTTGCGCAGCACCAGCATGTGGCAAACCCACAGGACTGGACGTGGGGGTTATTATAAATATCTCCAAACGCCAGAAGCTGCTGGGCAGAGCCAAACTCTACACCAGCTCTGAGGCCTTGACTCATCACTTTACCTCCCAGGGCCTCACACTCTGCATCTGCCTAGTAAGGACCTGAGGCTAGATGACTTCTAAATATCCTTCCAACTTTAAAGGAGAGAAAAGCAAACATGCGCCTATCCTGAAGAGGTTTGCAGAACCTGGCACTGAGTGGGTGCTTAGACAGCGTTTGTGAAACTGAACCAAGTATTCATGCAACACAACAGTAAATAATTCACTGCACAGGAGTATGTCCATTCACATTCAGAGGCCCCTAAGCTCCCCCACAGAGTGACGTATAATGTTCAGACCCTAATATGGCTAGAAGTAGGCATGGGGTTGTTCTCATCCATCTTCCGCTCCCATCTTCTCCCTCACTTGTCCTCATGCTGAAGCAGAAATGAGACTCTAAGCTTTAAAGGACATAAAGCTTAGAGCTTCATGGAGCTCTAAGATGCTACATGAAGAAAAACATGTCAAACAGAACAGGAGAAGATGAAGGTCTCAACGGACAAGAAGATCTGCACATAAAAGGTTAAACATAAGCTGCTATAAACTGAAGACAAGAATGCAGAATGGAAGAAACTGCGGACTACCTGTCATTCACTGTCTCACTCCCCCAGTCCAAACTGACCCATGACCTGAGAACACCCTGCTGTTTCTCAGCCATGGACAGAGGGTGGGGACTTGGACATCCTTTGTATGATGGGGTCATAAAGGGATCTCTCTCTAAGTGACCAGAGATCCCAGGACTGGGGGCTTTACTTATGAACAGTATGCTACTGGCACATACTTGTCCTTCGAGTAGGTGACAGAGGTCATCCAGCCTGTCCCATCAGGGCTGAACCTCAGAGAGCCACCTGTGAGAAGGCCCATGGGCAGCTTGTACTACACACACAAGGGTCATGCCCCGATGAAGACATGCCACCACGCTGTCCCTGGCTCTGGCTGCTTTCAATACACAGAGGGCTGCACCAGGCTCTGGAGTCTGAGACTGATGTCAGCCCCTTCCTTGTGGGAGATGTTTAATAAACAAGCAAAGAAATTAAACAATAATGACAGTTATTACCATCAAAGGGCTGTACAGAAAAGGAAAGGCAAACCCGGGGAAAGATTAAGCAGCTCTGTGATCATGTCTGACTTAGTGATTTCTAATGCAGGAATATGTTTACCTCTACAGAAAAACAAAGAGCAATAAACCCCTGCTGTCCTAATGCTACTTCAATCCAGCTCTTCTCTTACTAGGACTTTGGCTCCCTGTGAGGCTATCACCAGGCCATCCCCTGAGGCCAGCCTGCTACTGCTTTTCCAGGTTTACAAACAAAGTCTCCCTGAATGGGTCTGCAGGGTCTGCAGGAAAATTGAGCAAAGGTTGATGGACCTTCTAAAGAACAACAAGTACCTCTGCTTCCTTAACCCTTCCAGCTGGTTATGGAAGAAGCCAGAGAACAGTCCATAAATCCTAGGTGTGGTTTTCTGAAAGCTAATTTT